AGGGGACGACGAATGATGGACCAAGCATGATGTGTGACCGCAATGTGTGTAAATGTGAGCCCCATGTTGTGTCGAAGTTGGTGCCGACAGAATGCACCAAACCGAATTCGAGCACCAATTGTGCGTTCCCCGGGGGGGGCACGGTCGTCCGCCCCACGGGAGGTGCAGACATGGTTCGGTCTTCGAGTGACCAGAAAACGTTTTCCGCATTTCGGTCCTCGGAGTTTGCGCGGAAGACGTCCGAGGCATAGGTGGCCGCCTCCCAAGGGTGACACCGGCGGGCCGGTGTTGAGGAGGAGGAGGAGGAGGAGGAGGAGGAAGAGGAGGAGGGGGCATCTTGGGAGCTTTGGGGGGCACTCTTGGGCCTCTTGGGAGCTTCCTGGGAGCCTCGTAGAGACATCTTGGGGGCCTCTTTGGCCCTCTTGGGGGCCTTTGGGGTCGCCTGGCCCGTCTGACGCCGTCGGAAGCCGTCTTCGGGGCCTCCCTCGGCCGACTTGAAACCACCCTCTTGGGGTGCTCCAGGGCCGTCTTCGAGGCCACCTTGGGCGTCTTGGAGGTCTCTTGGGCCGTCTGGGGGCCCTCTTGGCGCCGTCTTGGGGGCCTCTTGGGCCGTTCTGGGGCCATCCTGGAGGCCTCGCGGGCGATCTTTCGGAACTCTTGGGCCGTCGGAAGGCCGTCGGAAGGCCGAAACGAAGCGAATGCCAAAATTCTTCAAACACCTCAGGAAAATCAATGAGCTTGGCCTCTTTGAGCATTCCTGGAGGCCCTCTTGGAGGCTTCTTGGGCCGTCTTGGAATCCTCTTGGGGGCCTCTTGGACTGTCTTGGGCCATCTTGGAGCCATCTTGGACCGTCTTGGTGGGCTCCTGGCCCGTCTGACGCCGTCGGAAGCTGTCTTGGGGTCTCTGGGCCAACTGGGGGCCCTCTTGGGGTGCTCCAGGGCTTTTCTTTGTCGGCCCGTCCCGCAGTCCGAATATGAGCTGCGGTAGCCTGGCGTTTGCTGCAATGTGAGATATCTGGACATCGCTCCCTGGGCCTCGGCCCGACGCAAGTTCTTGGAGGCCTCTTGGGCCGTCTTGGGGCCCCCCTGGGGCGGTCTTGGCGGCCTCTTGGGCCGTTCTGGGGCCATCTTGGAGGCCTCTTGGGCGATCTTTGGGGGCTCCTGGGCCGTCTCGGGCCGTTGACAGGCCGGAAAGAAGCAAACGCCAAAATCAATCAAAAATTTCAGGATGATCAATGATTTTGTTTTTTTTCGGGCCTTCCTGGAGGTCCTCTTGAAATCCTCTTGGGCCGTCTTGGAGACCTCTTGGAGGCCCTTGGGCCCTCTTGGACCGTTTGGGAGGCTTCTCGGGCGGACTTGCAAGCATCTTGAACCCTCTTGGGCCGTCTTGGAGGCTGCGAACTTGGAGGCCATCTTGGGCCAACGTGACCATCTTAGAGGCCATCTTGAGCGGTCTCATTTGATTGTTTGCCGACGTTGAGGTCGTTTCTGGTCCCTTTAGGCGGCTTTCCGCGGGGCTGGCGCGCTGGGCCAGAGCCCCAAGGGGAGTTCTTTTGGAAAAGAATCAAAACCAAAACGAGTAGGATCTAGCACGCCAGGCACCCCTGTGATAAATCAACTGGGGGCGGCGGATTGAATGGCCTTAGGCACATCCCGCTACCGTGCCTGGGCTGCGGGTCGGAGGCCACACGGATGGCAGATGGGGTCTCGTGGGAGGCGTCTCGGGGGCGTTTGGGAGGCAGCTTTTGCACTTCTCGGGGGCCTCCTGGCAGCCTCTTGGTGGCTTCTGGGGGACCTCTCGGAGCTCCCAGGGGGCCTAATAGAGGCTTCTTGGGGCAACGGGGGAGCGTTCTGGGACCGAAGACTCGATATGTCCGTTCGGGTTCCCCCCTGAGCCCCCTCTTCGGGCTGTCCTGGGGGCCTCTTGGGCCGTCTTGGGGGCTTTCTGAGGCTTCTTGAGTGGTCTTCGGGCCTTCTCGGGTCGTCTGGGAGCCCTCTTGGGGGCCTCTTGGGCCGTCTGGGGGCGATTTAGCAGGCTTCTTGAGTCACCTTGGAAGTTGTGAACGCACAAGTGGCGAATGTGTTAAAAATGCACGTTTTCCAAGGGAATGAAGCGATTTTTGCTCTTGAAGGCCGCCTTGGGACGCCTCTTGGGGGTTTCTTGGAGCGCCTTAGGGGCCTCTTGGGCCGTCTGGGGGCCAGCGTGAGCGCGTTGTCCCCCTTGATGCGTTCGGGCGGTCACCGGAGGGCCCCCCCCTCCAAATCGACCAGACGGGGCTTCCAGGGGAGGGGGAAGCATCTCACACGCCGATGAACCCCAAGGGGTCGGCGAATACGGATTCGCGCACTGGGCGCATGTTGGATCAACACGAATGCATCGCGTGGTGAGATGAGAATGCGGGTGTGGGGGAGGGGCGAGATTGGAAAAATCATGTGATGTTCTATGAACGTCAGCATTCGCAAGATTTGCGATGGCAAACTTAAGGGCGCTTAAGGACGTTACGTCAAAAACCTTGCAGAACTGTCGGTTGGTATGAGTTCGACATATACGTGCACGTGTGGATGTTGTGCCATTTGTTTCCCGAGGCACCATTGGAAATTATGTGTTGCGATAAACGCGCACGAGTGCATGATATCACTTTGGCAAGGATGAGGGGGGGTCGATAAGGGAATTGCCTGGATGGTATTAAAATCGGAACTGAACGACGAGGCAGAATCATGTATAATTTGGTACCTTTCAAAGACCGGGGGGAGGATGGTAGAGCATGCAGAAAACATAGGTTACTCGATGTGGTGCAAGGCAATGCAAAGCAATGCGTGGCAGAGCAACGCAAAGCAATGCAATGCAACGCAGAGCACGGCATTGCAATGCAACGCAACGCAACGCAACGCAGAGCAATACAAAGCAACGCAAAGCAATGCTATGCGATGCGCAGCAATGCGAAGCAAAGAAATACAATGCAAAGCAATGCAAAGCAATGCAAAGCAATGCAAATCACCGCGGCGACGGGCGGCGACGAGCTGGCCAGACCACCACTGGGGCCCAGCGGCGATGGCGGCGATTGGCGGCGACGAGCGGTCGGACCGACACCGGGGCCCAGTTACCGTAGAACACAATTAGGAAATTCCAAGTGCAAGCACTGCTTTGGGAATGTTGTACATACATATGTGTATACACATACATGCATACATACATACAAACATACATACATACATACATGCATGCATGCATGCATACATGCATACATGCATGCATACATGCATACATGCATACATGCATACATGCATACATATGTATGTATATGGCATCTACATGTAGATGTAGATATGTATGTGTGTATACATATCCTCCTGCCTCCTCCCTCTTCCTCTGTACTCCTTCCCCCCTCTACCTCTTGATCCGTCCTTCCGCCTCCTCTACCCTCCTCCTTCCTCCTCCATCCTTCTCCTCCCTTCTCCCTCCTCCTCCACCTTCACTCTCCATCCCTCCTCTTTCTTCCTTTTCCTCCTATTATTCCTCTTCTTTGCCCTCCCTCCTCCCCTCCTCTCCACTCCTCCCTCCTCCATCCGTCGCCATCCTCCTCTTCCTCGACGTCGCGACGTCAAAGACGACGACGATGACCACGACCACGACCACGATCACGACGACGACGACGACGACAGCAACAGCAACAGCAACAGCGACGGCCGATGACGATGTCGTCGTTTCTGATGCTGTTCTGGCGTTTCTGGAGCTTCGTGTCGCCACGTCTGTGCACGGCCCAGAAAACTTGGCAGGTCGGATCCTGAGAGGAGCCCGGGGGTCAGTTGTCAGCAATTGTTGGTTTGAGCCGTCGACGTCGACGACGACGACGACGACGACGACGATGACAACGGCGCCGACGACAACGACAACGGCGCCGACAACGACGACGACGACGACGACGACGACGACGACGTCGACGACGACGACGTCGGCGGAAACAACGACGACGGCGGCGACGACCATGACCCCTCAACCTCTCCCTTCCCCTCTTCCTCCTCCGCTCCCTTCGTTTCCTCGAGGGCCGACGACGTTCGACGAAGGGCGACGAAGTCGACGACGGCGACAACGACGGCAGCGACGACAACTTCACTTCGGAGGTTCTCTGGCGTTTCTGGGGCTTCTCGTCACCACTGCTGGACGAAGCTCGAAAAAGTGCCAAAGATGGACCCAGGGGCGGACATTAAACGGCTTGTGCGTTTTGGGTGTTTCTGAGTGTGCGGGATGGGAAGCACCTCGCTTCCTGTTTATTCGGCCTGCCAGGTCCCTTCTCGGCGCCCTCGGATTTGCCGCCGGCTCTCTTTTGCCCCTCTCCCCTCCCGGCGTGGCATTGGCTATTGCCGTGCCCCACGTGCGTTTCACAGCTCAGCGGTCGGCCATGTCCGGCTCTTGCTGGGGCTTTCTGCGTTGTGCGCGTGTCCACAGAGGTGGACGAGTCGTGTTGGTTGCGTCGCTGCTCGAATTGTCACCGCTGGCTGTAACCCACTGGCGCGGTGGAGGAAGCAGCTTGTGTGTGTGTGGTTCGCTCCCCTCCCCTCCCAGGAGGAGTCAGCGACCTGTCTAGTGGTGACTCCCATGGCAGTGCACATCTCATCGGCGTGAGCACAAACGTCTGGAAGACTGCGCGGATTGCTCGGATCGGCGCTGGACACCCTGGAGGCTCCTCCGGCGACAGCGCCAGCGCGCTCCGAGCGCCAGCTCCGAGCGCCAGGGGAGAGAGGTCCGTCGCAGATCCAAGAAGCCCGCGCGCACCTCCGCAGGTCTATGTTTACGCTGCCTCCTCTTTTCCTGACCGCCGACCGCGACGACGGCCGACGACTGCGACGACGAGCGCGACGACGACGACGACGACGCGGCGGCGTCGACGACGGCGGCGTCGGCCGCGGCGGCAGCAGCGACGACGCCGGCGGCGACGAGGACTGGCGACGACCACGACCACGGCGGCGGCGACGGCTGCGAGGCCCCGCATGCGCGCCGAGGCGCCAAAGTCCAGCTCCCGGACTTCGGCACGTGCACCGATCGCAAGACCTACATCGTCGGCGCCCGGCGGCAGCTTCCCACGGACGGCGACGACCGAGGCGGCGAAGACGACGACGACCACCACGACGACCACCGCGACGACGACGACGACGACGACAACGACAACGATGACGATGACGACGACGACGACGACACCACGACGACGACGGCCGACGACAACGACGACGGCCGACGACCGCCGACGACGACGACGACAATGGCAGACGAGGCCAGCGACGACGGCGGGGACCGCGACGGCTACCGCGTCACCGACCGCAAGGCATTGACAGTCGGTGCCTATGAGTAACAGAAGGGAGGAGGAGGCGGGTTGGAGGGTCAACGTTTTTGCGTCACGTCGGCACTCTGACGCTCTAGGCGGCACCGTCTTTGACGACCACGACGTCGTCGGTCGTCATGGTCGTCGTCGTCATGGTCGTCGGTCGTCGTCGTCGTCGGTCGTCGTCGTCGTCGTCGTCGTCGTCGTCGTCGTCGTCGTCGTCGTCGTCGTCGTCGTCGTCGTCGTCGTCGTGGTCGTCGTCGTCGTCGTCGTCGTCGTCGTCGTCGTCGTCGTCGTCGTCGTCATGGTCGTCGTCGTCATCGTCGTCGTCCTCTATATGGTCGTGAGGGAGCAGGAGGGAGCGCCGACGCCGCCGCCGCCGTTTTGGCTCAAGCCCCGACCGGGCCCCCCGAACCGTGCCCCCCAGGGGCAGAGCGGGATGGGTGGCTTGAATCTTGGCGACACAGCCCAGCGCGTGAAGCGCGCCTGGTGTGGCTGATGCAAAGGAACTTGCGCAGCAGCACAGCTTGAGAGACGCGTGAAGACTGGAAGAGACTGCGCGTAGCCTCAGCCGGCGATAACCTGTGGAAGCACGGGATGGGGCAGAAGTGCCAGCACGCAAGGCAGCCAGGTAGATACCGCCGAGTTCCGGCCAGCCAGTAGCACAACTGCAGGCGGCATGGGCTGGGAACCAGAGACATCTGAATCGCAATGGACGGGACCGGCCCGAAGCACCGAGGAGCAGCCACCACCGCTGCTGCCCCCTCGACGACGGCAGGCGCCGCCTTCACGCGAGAAGGCGGGGCAAGGGCGAGCGCGCCCGCTCGCGCGTGTCCGAGAATTGCCCAGCCCGAACGGCATCGAGGGCAGCGGAGGGACGCAGCGGCCACCAAGCCCAGGCCAGGGGAGTCGGGGGGCCACCGCACTCGTCGTCTGCTCAGGCCCCGCAGAATTGGCCACTCTGCGACCAGGACGTTCTGGATCAGGCTGTCTCTGCGCTAAGACGCAAGGCGCGAGCTTAGCGCGCAAGCGATCTGGTGATGAAAAAATCAAGGCTTGAAGCGGCAAGTGTCGTCCGACTATTGTCTTTAGCCCGGGATAGCTTCCAATATTGCATTGCAGCGCAGTCATTCTGTAGAGTGTACAGTCCCCATTGCGAACTTCCCTCACGATGCCCGTTACTGTACAAGGATGCTGAGGAATCTACTCTCCAGGATCTTGCTCGTTGTCTGCCCCGTCTTACGGACCACTCCGTTTCGAGAGCGGGAACAGGGCGCATAGGAGCTCGTCTGCCTTCGCGCCTTCGCACTGGTCATCGGCCGTCGCCCTGCACGCCGATGTGCGTGATCGACGTGTGCGCGCACTGGGCTGTCAGCTTGTAGCTTGTCAGGATACTGCACGGTTCGCTGGCGTTTGCCTGGGCATGGGAAAAGAGCGCGTACGACGTCGCCGAAGAGAATTTTGCGTGCGT